ACAACTAATCAATTAATCAAGAAAATGATTGACAGATGATGGATAATGAAAATAATTGCTAGTTGGACCCTTAAACTGGACCTTTAACAGGTTTTAAATCACAGAAGGGGGTTCAGTGGCTTGCGTATCTAACAATTAATCAATAATACTTTGTTTGAAATAAATCAAGACCAAATTTGGCATTGTTGTTTTTTCTGTGATAATTACAATCATTAACATCCCACAGATCCGGGGTGGTAAGATTACTTTGTTTCCTCGTATCCGTCAGCAGGTCCGTGCAACCTGTCACAGCAGCAACTGAGCACGCCCGACTATCAAACAGTTTGTTGCAGCTGCAGGATCAGACTTCTGACATTACCTTTCTGACTGAAGCACTTTCCACAATGCTGACAGACGTGAGGTTTTTCCCCTGTGTGAAGCTTCATGTGGTTCCTCAGAGATCCGGAGTTAGCCAGCTGCTTGGGGCAGAGTGTACACTGCACCTGAGAGAGGAAACCAAAATCAAATGCAGCATGTCTCCTTTTCCCTCGTTTTAAATACTTTAAGTTGAAACTCCTATTCAGGGAGAAAAAACCAAGACCTGCATGAAAATTTAAAGATGTTACGTGAAAGATTTTTAAATTGGGCTGAAAAATAGAAATAGCTGAGGGGAAAGTGCAGCAGCAGCAGCAGCAAGGAGCAATTTAAAAATATTCCTCCTTGGTGATTGTAGATTTCAGGAGAAATAACGTACATGAGTGAAAAATGGATCAATTAAGCTGCCTGTTGTACCTTTTACTGCCCATTTTATCTTATTAAAAACCGCAGCGTTTTGAAAATGTCACCACAGACGAGTGAACAAACACTTAAAACAAAAGTTATATTTACACACTCCTGTGACTGTGTGTTTCCTGGAGATCTAACAAACATGTTGAATCTATTTTAAATCCTGCTCTGTTTACTAGCATGCATACTTCTTCCCAGTGTGAAACCTGTGTTAGGACTATGTTAGGACTGTGTTAGGACTGTGTGTGGTGTGAATGCGTGGTCTAACACTGCACAGTAAAAAGGCCTCTCTACCTTCGGAAGCTGTGTGTAAATCATTCTGCTGCAGTGAAGGAGGCGGTGGATTCGTAGGGAGGGGCGGCGTGCGAATGCCTTGCCACAGTGCTCGCAGACGTAGGGTTTTTCTCCGGTGTGCAGGACCATGTGCTCCTTCAGGTCCCGCTTCAGGCCGTAGGTCTTCTCACAGTGAGGACAGGAGAACGGACGCTCCCCGCGGTGACTCATCTAGGAATAACACCATTATTATTTGAAATAAAATGTATTATTACTACTGCTATTGTTTCTATTCACAGGGATGAGTAAATTGCTACTCTGCATGATGACTAAGCTCGTGTCCAACGAAGGAACAGTCAGTAAAGGAAAAACTCCCTGTACCCACACACCCACTGTTTAAAAAAAGCCACTGGTGACGTATCTTGTTTTTCTGAGGCCATTTAGTTGTCAAGCTGTGTTTTTTTTATGCCTGTGGATAACTGAGCAAAGAGGATAACAGCTCGGATAGCAGAAAATGTTCAAAACGGTATCAATGGTAAACATCAGCTTTAGCTGTCGGGCCCCAGAATCAAAGAGGGAAAGCTTCTTTGTGGCGTCGCTATTTTGCACAGTTGCGGAAAAATCTTACAGCAGCAGAGACGGAGAGAAGAAAACAGAAGATAGAAAGAAATATTATCTGACAATATCGATGTAAATGTTGCCTGAACAATAACAAGAACTGTCAGTACAGAAATGGCAAAGATATGTTTGAGTATAAGAAATGATCACAATATTTTGTTTAGTAATGCAGATGCGTATGGTGGTGTAACAGTCTTCCTAAAATTAGATTTCAAAAAGAAACCTGTAATATATTGCTTACAGTGTCACGATAACTAAACCCTGTATCCTGATACGTATCGCAAAATTCTTCAATACACAGCCCCAGCGTCCATTACACAGTTTGTCCACCAGAGAGCAAGTTTATTTTTGCCATTTTTTTTCATTGTAATTGCCACCATGCATTATAGAGGATTAAACAGGTCTTAAAACAGGCTAAAAGTTCATTTCACGATGAACATTTTCTCATATTTACCTACTAGGACTAGTATTCCCAGGGGACTGCTGTCACTTATAAAGTCAGTAGTATACTTAAATGTACTGACATTATCCCCCCACTGCTGTGTCAGTATCAGTGAGGCTGCCTGTGGCCAGAGGTAAAACACACCTAAAACTTTCAACCAGCTCTTAAATTACTCTTTAATTAAATGTATTTTATAGTGAAATATAGTTCACGATTGTTCTGACTTTTTTCACAAGATAGTTTTCTTGTATATTTTTGTTGGATTTGTGTTTTTTTAATAGTTGTTTTATAACAAAATGTAATACTAATTAACTTTCTAGTGACATTTACCCTTTAAACTCTACTGTTACATGTTAGATTAATTTTTTTAAGCTTTTCAGCTGTAAAATGTCCTGCTGAAAAAATGTCTTCATCATAACTCTTAAAGAACCAAATTTAAGGAACAATATTGTTGTTATAACCATGTTTCAATAGAATATCTTTTTGGACTCAAGAAAAAGAAGAAAGAAAGAAAGAAAGAAAGAAAGAAAGAAAGAGGACGAGAGGAGCATCCATCTTGTCTTGCTGCCATCCAAATATCAAATATTGATGTCCATATTCCACAATTACTTCACCTGCTTTAAATAGGGCAGTGATATCATTTATAATGTGAATTTGAGCTGCGGCTCAAAGGCATTGATTAATTGTTCAGGTTGGAAATGAGACCTCAGAGCAAGGACAGAGATTTTAATCATATCACATAGAGATAATAGGCTTATATAGCTTTGTGACTTCTGTTTGGTCTTTACCCTTTTTACGAGAAATAGCCAAGTTTACTTTTTAAAGCTGAATGATATTAGTTTTATTGTTTTGTGTTTATTTTTGAATCAGTATCTGGTGTCTGATGTGATGTGATGTGATGTGATGTGATGTGATGTAATGTTGGGTATACAGTGTATGGTGTACATTATGTACACCTAGATAAAATGAATGCACTCGAAAACAACAGCCCGCCAATAATTAGATTAGATTATAATGTTCAGCTCTTGTTAAATGTGTTTTAGAGAAGTGTTGATTCAACATTATGGTCATGTTGGGAGTTGTAGTTAGTGGTGATGTTGGATTATATTGCATTATACTGAGATGTGTTTCTGATATTCAGTCATCTCTCACTGATAACAATGGGAAGGACATATTGTAATGGCTGTAGAGCAGGGTGATGTGGTATACATGAAAACATCATTAGTAAAATGAAAATGTCACACTATCCCAAACCCCAAGCTGACGTATTCTACTAAGCGTCCGAATCCCAAAGATATTTAGTTTAATATCATAGAAGATAGAATAATCACATTTGAGAAAAGGACATTTGGCATTTCTGCTTAAGAACAATTAGCTGTTGATAAAGATTCCCATTAATTGAGCACATACAGCCTAATAACCAAATCTAAGGTGATATGATACAACAATATCAGTATTGTGCAGTATGTCTTCTTGCTTTGTCTCATGTCAAATTACTGACTTTCTTTGCAGTTTTGTGCTCATTGTCTCACTTTGAGGACTTCAAATTAAGTTTAAGCAGCTTTTACAAATTCGACTGATAATTTTCATTTGTTAAATTTGTTCTATAATTGTAATTCATTTCCTTAGAACCTTTTCCTCTTGTTTAATATTTAAACTGAAAGTGGCTAATTCTTTCCCCGCACTGCTGCATTGAAAAAGGCGTGTCTCGGGTGACTTAGAAAACAGCGCAGACCTCACATACAAAGTTTCGGGGAGTTGTCTGTTGATACCTGATACCCGCCCCCCTCCCCTCTACCCTTTAAAGTCCCCCCCGTCCCTTATTTCCTCCACCCCGCCCTTTTCCCACCACATCCATCGCGCGTCATCTGGGTTATGGTCAGGCGTCCTCTCTGGCCGCCTGCCTGCCGAGGGCCAGCCTGCCGTCTGGGGTCCTCAGGGAGCCCTGGAAGGAGCCTGAGGCAGGGCCAACAGTGGTTAGCCCCGTAACGCTACTTTTAGCCTGTTTAAGTGTCTCTCTCCACCTGTTGTCAGATACTTGTTTAGCTTTGGAGAGAAAGGTGATAACTGTTTTTTTGTTGTTTTTAAGTGACGCTCTGAGGTGATGATGAAGAAACAATGGTTAAAACAAATATTTTAGTATAAATTTAATTGAATCCTACGTATGGATTTGCATAAGCATTAAGCAGATATTTCGCAAAGATGGATCAGCATGAGCCCTCAAGTATACACACACACAGCCCCTCAATGGCTTTTGATCCGACAGAGTTCTGATTGAAGTATCCAGTCGGTTGGCTAGTGGGGGAGGCAGTGAAAAATAGGGGGTGTTTGTTGACCCCTGGGAGGCTCGCAGGATTTAAATGTATGGTCACCAGAAGAAAAAAGTGAGAGAGATGAAGGAGGAGGAAAAAAGGATGAAAAAAGAGGGAAAAAAGGTTCTTTTAGCCGTAGCCTTTTCCTCTGGTGCTCTGGGAGAGGCCCCAAGTATGGCAGCTGTCCCAGTCTGTGTGTGTGTGTGAGACAGAAAGACGGAGAGAGAGAGAGACCAACTTAGAGGAGGAAAGGGGTCAGGTTGCACCCCTCTTTCACCCCTACAACCCCATACAGACACATTCACACAAACTTACATGCAGCAGCAGTAGCTAAATACGAGCACGGCCCAACCCTGATTGCCAAGATTGCATTGGCGTCATAGACAGTCGTTTCAAAATCTGCCCGGCGACAAGGCATGTGGACAGATCACAGGAGTGTGGAGTGTAATAGCTACCCCCTGGCATCCCTCTAGTAGGCTGGCATCCTAGTTGTGGCAGCGAGGTGCACTTCAATTTCAGCTTAGTGTACAGTGATTCTTGTAAGATTTATGTTTAGTTGACAGCTGAGTGCTGCTGAGAGAGTCTGCCGTTCAGACTTCGAGTCACCTCCGTCTGAGCGTTGCGGGAGGAAAAATATTAGTATAATATTTATAAAGCCATTATTTCTTTGATGGAATTGCAGTTTAGATGCTATGGCAAAGTAGGTGATGAAGTCAAGAGAAAAAGATGAGTTAAAAAAAGGAAGAGAAATGTGGAGTGTGCGATAGAGGCTGTCTTGACGTCCCCAAGGGGGGGACAATAAAGTGTAATGTTCATCATGTTTAAAACAAATATTGACATTTTGGGAAATATTTGCTTTCCAGCTGGGAGTGACGGCCAATCCGCATAGAGGTGTGTTTTTAGAATAGTTTATGACATCCATCCCTCAAGTGAAGCAGAATCTCAACAGACAGCTGTTTATATTACACAAATCTCTCGCTGTATATATGTTCTGATCTCATTAATGGTATGTGTAATGACTGACCGAGATGCAACAAGCGACATTGGGAGCCTCACTAAAATCTATGAATCATATAAATTATATAATATATAAATAAAAACAATGCTGATTTCTTCCCATGTAGCCTAATTGAACGTATTTTTGTTAAGTACATTTCTGCTGTCAGTCAGCTTGGTGAGAACAGCTTTGCCGGCCGTTGTCCTCTCAGCTCCTCATGAGCTGCTGCTGACAGGACAGCTGTTACCGGCCGGACCGAAGTCTGAGTCGATGCGGATTGAATGGATACCTCTCTTTCTTAGCTGGTCAATATAACGCTTCAACTGGGAGGTTAGCTTAGATTAGCATTACACTGGAAGCAGGGGGAAAATGCTAGTCTGGCTTTGTCCAGAGGTAGTAAAATCACCCAAGCAACATCTCTACAGCTTGTTGGTTAAGTCACTACCCTCAGCCAAAAAGTAGTCCAGCATATAAAACCACAAATGTAAATTTTTGGGCAGATTAAACGCATGAGACATAATACTATAATTAGTGAGCTTCACAGGTCTGTGTAGGCAGAATTGTTGAAATTAGACAGAGCCAGGCTAGCCATTTCCCTCTGCTTCCAGTCTTTATGCTAAGCTAAACTAACTGGCCGCTGTATTTGCTGACAGGTATTGATCTTCTTATCTAACATTCCTTCAAAGATCAAACAAGCATATTTCAGGGCAAACTATTTTGTCAATATTCATAATGTTTAGAGTTTTAGATTTATCGGCAAAGTCAATCTGTGCTTTTTTGTGCTGAATTTTGGGAACTGGGTGGAATCAGCCCAAATGAATGCCGCAGATAAAGGATCCTACTTTGATGTGAAAAATGGAGAAAGAACTTCTACAGCCTCTTTGTTTTGACATGACTTTTATTTAAGATGCTTGAAACAACCAAACCATCTGTCTATTCAGTTCTTGCCTTGGTTCAGATAATTTATAACTCATATATAAGAGAGTTGAGAGTCTGGCCGGCCAGGGAAAGCCAGCTAGGTGTGAGGTGAGCAGGTCACAGACAGCCTGTGAGCCAATCGCAGTCTGACACAGTCAAACCCCCCAAACAGACTGGAGAATCCATCTAGAAGCCCAGAGCAATCGGCGTGGGCTTTCTACAGGAACGCACCAGACAGGAAACCACATGATATGTGTGCTTTAGTGTCTGCTGTGCGTGTCTCTGTGTGTGTGTAGGTGTTTCTTTCTCTGTTATACACATATGCTTTCTGTGGTGTGGGACGGCTGAGGTCATCTGAGTGGAGACGGTCTCATATTGTGACCATGCTTGTTTAATGGAAGTCAATCAGGGCACAATGTTTCATGCCAAGATTCCTCACTTTATTGATTACTCAAAGAGTTTTCAAGGAAAATCACATAATTGCCAGATGTTACATTTCTCTCCATTGAGTCGATTCTTAAAGAAAGTATACCAGTAACAAATTCAAACTTTTCCAAACTCTGAAAATTGCATTACAAGCAAGGAAGTCATTGGTAAAGCATTAAAACATTTTATTATTTGTTCCCATGCTGCAATTTCCATAAATAGAGCCCTTGATAGCACAGCCCATCGTTTGTTCGGCCTGGTCTTCTGGCCAAACGCTCATCTGCCATTGGTTACAAAAAAGGAGCATATTTCCTCATTTTGCTGGGAAGGAAATGAAATTGCAACAATTGTGCTTTGGTTATGGAGGAACCTGCCTGCCCTGCCTGCCGCGAGAACTTCCTCTGCTGCTCTGCTGGGAGATTGTATTTCTCTCTCTGCAGCGTAGAATCAGAGAGGTAGCAGAGGGGTCGCCAAGGCCGATGGGCCATGACCTGGGTCTCTGTACTGACTTAATACTCCAGACTAGGGGCTGTAGCTTGTGATTTTTTCATTATCGATGAATTTGCTGTTCATAATCGTCAGTGTGGTCTTGTGGCATTCTTGTGTTTAATGCCTGGCTGATAATAAAGTTGAAGTTGAATGTCCTCAGAATGTGTGCTTTTTCAGAGCACCAGATTAAAACCCAAAGATATTTGGTTTTCAATACAAAACATGGTTTGTTACACAGAACCACCTGGGAAGTTGTTGTTGGAAACCGTTTGGAAATTTCAAAAAATACTCTAGACCATCCGTCTATCACCATCTATCATGACCAAACTTTAACCAATCAGATGAACAAACCAAATTAGTCTTCATACTTCAAAGAGGGGCGAAAACATCTTTTCCATTAAAAATCGTGAAGATTTGCTGCTTTTGAGAAACTGAAATGACTAATTGACTGAACTACCCCAGACCTACTTAAAATCTGTCTTGACTGATTGTCTTGATAGGACTTGCCAGGTATCTGAGCAACATGAACCCCCTAATCCTTTTTTGTAGTAATATCAATTGTATTTAATATTATCATCAACATGTAGCGGAATAGAACAAACAAAGCATGCTGCGAGCTTTCCAGTATCATTGAGACCATTTCATTTTTATTTTCAGTTTGTTGTTTATTGATCGATGTATTCAAGATTTCCTGAGGAAGCACATTTGTCCATCTGACCATGTTTGAACTGGATCTATCCCGCTTTCATGCCCAGAGAGACACATTTTACCCTCCCTGTCCTTGATTCTTCCTTGTCTGTCCCACCTTCTCTTTCTCCGCAGGCCTGCCCGCCTCTTCGTCTCTCCCTGTGTCTCTCTGGCCAGAGTGATGATTCAGGGCCTATTGTGAAGTCAGCAATCCGATACAGAGCCAACCCGAGAGCAGGGGGGGGTTGGACGATAGAGGGAGGCAGGGGTGGG